CACAAGAAAATAAAATATCTTAGATGTGCCAAAGAATAAGTGTCCAGATACTCTGCTGCTTTTGTTTCTTTAAATCCCACCACCCCTTTTAACTTTCTTTTCCCTTGATCAGGTAGAGGAGCAGGAGCAGCTTGCTAAGTCTGCTGCCTAAAGAGTTGTTTAACTATAGAATGAGAGACCAGTCTTCTATTCTCCTAAGAAGACCTTCTCAATATTTAAATATATATATTTAATATATATTATATACACTTAGAATATAATATATGTTATGTATTAATTAGAGTCATATATCTGTATGAGTATTGAATACTTGAAATTGTTTATTGGCTATTGAGTATTTGAAATGTGGTTAGTATGGCTAAGAAAAATTTTTTTATTTTATTTTAATTTAATTAATTTTTATTTAAGCTTAAGTAGTCATATGTACCATGCACGGTAGCATTTTATCTGTTCATCTCAGAGTGTACATAATAAATGACTTAATTGTTGAAGTGACCTTTGTAGGCATTCTTTTCTATTCAAAATTTGTGTTAGTATATTTTCTGTCTTTCTGTGTTGGTATCTACCAGCTAAAGTATTAGATAGCACAGTCTTAAGTACATATTTATGCTTATGTACCTTTTTATCCATATGTATCAAAGTATCTATTTGTCCCAGGGAGGGAGATGGTGAGTGTTAGTTGACATTTCCTTGTTAGTAAGGCCTGGGAAGAAGTATCTGGACCCAAATATGACATCTTTGGGTTGAGAACCACTGCTGTCTGTTCTAGGACAATAAGAACATATTAGTCATAGCTCTTTCAAAATCTGTATATTATCACTTTAATATCAGGATTAGTGGGGCTATTTCTTTTTTTATGCCTGTTCTGGGGCAACAAGAAAAGACTGTTAAACTTATTCTCCAGGATTAGAGTTTTTTTTTTTTCCCCACACTTCTTTTGCCTGTTGTTTCTTTTTTTTTTTAATTTTATTTATTTTTTTCCCCCAAAGCCCCAGTAGATAGTTGTATGTCATAGCTGCACATCCTTCTAGTTGCTGTGTGTGGGACGCGGCCTCAGCATAGCCGGAGAAGCGGTGCATCGGTGCGCGCCCGGGATCTGAACCTGGGCCGCCAGCAGCGGAGCGCGCGCACTTAACTGCCAAGCCATGGGACTGGCCCCAGGATTAGAGTTTTTAATGGAGTTGAATTAATTTTAATATCGAAAAGTGACCAAAAAGCTACATAATCTGCTAAAGATGTCTTAGAGTGATTGGAATAGACTTCCAAGAAAGAATGATTAGAAACAATTATGGAGAAAATATTTTTTTAAATTTAAATATTTTTAAAATAAATTAAAAAAATTTTTTTTAAATATTTTTTAGATTATATCTTTAGGTGAATAACTGATTACCCTTCTCTAGGATTGGCACTCTTCAGTTTGGCTTTAACTATCTGGAAACTGAATGTGGAAATGTCATTGATCTTACTGCTTTCTTCTTTCTAAATTTTATTTTCGTCCTCTTTCTATTCTCTGCCTTTTCTTTAAGTTACCCAGAATATCTGATTTTTCTATATACTCACTCCCATTGGGAGTTCATCTACTTATATTCTGGTGAGATACTTAAAGCAAAGTACTTAGAATCACGGCACAGAAAAAGGCCTTGCAAAAATAATCCAGTGTTGTTTTTACCTGCCTTCCATCTATCAGAAATTTAATTTGCTGTAGTAGTTCATGGTTTTCTCAGTAATTGTTATACTATCACACAAAAAAGAGATCTTTGATCTCCGTGTGTGTTGACAAGTTAAATACAGTCTGTGCCCACTTTATAAAAATGATTTAACAAGCCTGGAAGGACAATTCCCTTTAGTTTCATTTTTCTATTTTTGCATTGAAATACAATGTTTTCCTTTTTAAATATCTCTTAAATCCTGCCATTGAACAAACTTTGGAATGAGAAAATCATAGTTCTAAGAAAGAGTACATACTCAATTACCAAGAAGCCTATATTTTAAGTGATTTCACCCACAAGTATTGTTCATAGTATGAATCAATAAAAGTGGTAATGAGTCGTTATTAAGGAACAATTACAAATTTCTGTTGTTTTCCTCTTTACTACACCTTTAGAAGCATATAATCACTAACTGTAGTTTCAAAACTAATCTAAAATATTTTAGTTCACTTTCAGATTTATTATTCCTTGTGTTTTGGGGCTGAAGTTTAAAGAATTTGATGAAATATTAACAGCCCAAAGTTATAAAATGGGGTACAAAATAACTCAAAAAATATTCAGAGTTTGCAAATATATATTTATCACATTATTTATCGAATATCTTCTTTATCAATAGCAACATTCTACATTGGGCTCATTGATATGATTCTTCTTTTGTCCCATTCCAGGTGAATTTGATTTATGTTGGTCATGAAATACCTAAGTGTGGCTCATGTCCTAATGCCAGAGTTAATATTTTTCTAACATACATATATCTGTCTTATAATTGGCTAAGGAAATGTTGATACCCGGAAACCAGGATAGATCACTCATATCTAGAACGTTCTACACTGCAAATGTGAAAAGTATGTCTTGTATATAAAAATATCCTCAGAAATTATTTACTTCTTGGAGTAGACAGTATTCAGCCCTTAGTATCGTGCAATAAAGAGCCTATGCTCAGTGTTTGTTGATTTATCAGATGAACTGAAAAGAATCTAGTTAAATAAGACTGGTATGTTGCAATTGATTGCTTATAACTGGCAATAAATATACTTACAAAGGGACTAATAAACCTGTTGCCTTGCTATTAATTGGCTTTTATAAAAACCGTTCTGTAACCTAAATTAGCTTAAGTATGTGATATTTATTGGTTACAATTTATAGCTAGTCAAAAATAAATGGCAAAGGGCTAAAGCCACTCATCTTAGAAGGCATCAGCCTAAGTTAAATTACAAAACCTTCTATAAACCATATGATTTACTTTTATTTAAGAAACCTAATTGTTGGCTATCAGATTGAATTACATTTTCTTGTATTGTGTAAGTCTAGAAACCTATAGTTTTGCATACTAAAACTATTTCTAACAAATCTTGTTTATTTTACTAGCTAAGAAAACATGTATACCATGTAATAAAACCTTTACTTGAGGAAAAACAAACTGTGTAAATGTTATTAATGTTTTCCTAAGTGTAGTTTTTTTTTTTTATTGCAAAGAGTAAATATAAATATTGTTTTAAAATTATATAGGCACTGTTTTTCAAAATGGTTCAAGTTTTCCATTGAAACTTACTAGACTGGGGGCTCTGCCAGACTAGAAGGTACTAAGGCAGGGAGATTTGGGGCCACATAGAGACTCAGACAGGCAGACTGGGCTATGTATTCCGGAAGGAGATGCATCCTACCAGGTTGAGCATAGCATCTGAATTGTAAGAGTGATAAATACTAGGCCACATAGGGAAATTTAAAAAGGAGAACTGAGTAAACATTACTAAAAAACATTCTACTTTAGTAGAGAAACTTTTAATCTAGAAGGTAGTTTTTCTGCTTTATCTCATTTGCGTTATTTCTATATAAATCTCTGTGAGATATATGACAGATTTTCTTCTTGGAATGTTTTTCACCTTCTTTCACCTCTACTTTGTAACCCTTTATACACATTCCTCGACAGGTATTTGCTGAATCAATAAATGAACCCTTTGGGGCCAGCCCAGTGACATAGTGGTTAAGTTCACGCACTCTACTTCGGCGGCCTGGAGTTGGTGGGTTCAGATCTTGGGCGTGGACCTACACACTGCTCATCAAGCCATGTTGTGGTGGTGTCCCATGTACAAAATAGAGGAAGATTGGCATGGATGTCAGCTCAGGGCCAATCTTCCTCACAAATAAATAAATAAATAAACCCTTTATATCCTCTTTGGTGAGCAAGGGGGAATAAAAGAAATTTCATGAAAATGTTTTTTATGGCAAACAAAAAAACTTATGTGTATAAATTATCATTATTATGGTAAATCTCATTATAGGAAGCCAAAAATACATGACAAAGGTTGAAAGCCTAAATTACAATCAAATACGGCTCTATTGTGGACATTCATTAAACACATCATTTGATAAACATTTAAAAAGTTGGACCTGTGCTACACATTTTGATAAAATATAAAAATACGGTATATACCATTTAAAGAGTAACTGGGAAAACACAAATGATTATGTACAAAACATAATAGATGTAATCCATAGTGACGTCTATACAATATACTCTGAGAATTAGATAAAAATGTACCTTACAATGGAGCCAAGTATAAACAACCAAAAGGAATATTGTTAATGAGGGAGGAAGGAGGTGTGAACGAATATTTGTGAAGCTCCTTGTAAAAATCAGACCTGGAGGTAGATACTCTATATACATTGTCTTCTTTAATCATCATAACTATCTTTCAAGTTCTAGTGTGTGCTGGAACTGGTTTATACTGGCTCACAATAACCCCTTATTATATCTTGTCCCAACTCTGTATTCAGTGACTTTATATTGGTATCTTTAAATCAGCCATTGTGGGAATATTTACAACATGGAAATCAACAAAAGCTACAAATCAGGGCTTTTTCCCCTCCCTGTCTGAGAACAAGGTTGTTAAACATTTATCAGCACACCACTGATATGCATTAAGTAGGACTGTGTAATATTTAGACTGTGAAATCTATCCAGTCCTAAAATTCTATGACTATTGTTGAGCAAATTATCCAGTAATTTTTTATTGAATTAGTTTTCTTAATTTTAATGGATGATTTAGATAGTTTTAACATTTTTAGGTTATATACTGGAATGATTTTAGTCAAAAATGTATTGATTTGTAAACTGAAAAAGTTTTTGTGTTTTTATAATGGGCCATGCTTCTTCATTTTATAATGAGGAATGATTTATGATTGAAATAGTAAAATATTATCAGTTATAAATATTTGTTTAAAACTAAGATTTGTTTAACACAACCTCTGATCATATCTTTGACCATTTTATGTGTTGGTATTTTGCAGTGAGGCCCACAGTGATTGAAACTGATGTTTATGTAAACAGCATTGGACCAGTTGATCCTATAAATATGGTGAGTAGTAAATATTAAAAATAGTTATCTTGCATAGAGTTCTAGAGTATACACCTCAGTAATACAAATGAATTCCTGAGTAATTTCTGATAGCTAATTCTGAATGAGTTTAGGGCAACATGTGCATTTACTATGCTCCAGGTATTAGGATTGGAGCTAAAATATCCCCATATCTAAGAATGTGTAACCTGTTACTCCAATGCACCATGTTTGCTAGGAACTATGCTGGAGCATAAAAAATTATCACGTGATCCATCAAGAGCGGATCCTGAAGAAATCTAGTAGGAGATAACCAGAAGGCCTGAGGAAAAAGCAGTCAATCAGAGAAGGAAAGAGACTTAACTGGCAGAGGAAGGAGCATGCAAGAGTCATAGAGGAATGAAACGTCTTGATAAGATCAGGAGAACTTCTAGTAATCTGACGACACTGGAACATGAAGTACAAAGTAAGGAATTAAGGCTGAAAAGATATTTAAGGGCCTTATTAAGAATGGTCTTGTGAGGGGCTGGCCCCATGGCCTAGTGGTTAAGTTCCATGCACTCCACTTTGAGGGTGGGTTCAGTTCTTGGGTGTGGACCTATACCACTTGTTGGCGGCCATCCTGTGGTGGCACCCACATACATAATAGAGGAAGATTGGCATGGATGTTAGCTCAGGGTGAATCTTCCTCAGCAAAAAAACTGGTCTTATGAGCCATAATGGGAAACTTATGTATGAATTGTATCCCTTTGGATAGAGAAATGCCTGGATGCTTTTCATCAGGAGAGCGTCATAGGCAGATTTATATTTTTAATAGATTCACTCTTTTTTTTTTTTTTTTGCTGGGGAGGATTCGGTCTGAGATAATGTCAGTTGCCAATCTTCCTCTTTTTTCTCCCCAAAGCCCCAGTACATAGCTATATATTCTAGTTGTAAGTCCTTCTGATTCCTCCATGTGAGCTGCCACCACAGCATGGCTACTGACAGACGAGTGGTGTGGTTCTGCACCCAGGAACTGAACCCAGGCCACCAAAGTGGAGCACACCTAACTTTAACCACTAGGCCATCAGGTCTGGCTTGGTATAGATCACTCTTATAATAGCATAGAAGATGGATAGAGGGATCAAAGTCCGGGATTAGAGAGACCAGTTATGAGGTTGTTGCATTAGTCTGGGTGGTACTGGTTATCTTGATAGTATGAAATTCAACGGAATGGTGAAGGTAGGAATGGAATAACAGCTGAATTGTATGTCCCTCCTCCATCCTCAAAATTGGTCTCATATCCATCTTCTTGTCACAGAGCCCTGAAGACATATATGAGTTCCGCATGGAAAGACATGCAATCATGTGTTGATTTCAAGGTGTTAGGGAGTAAGTGGGAATGCAGTTAATGTTATGAACTACTATTTTGAGGAACTTATCTTAGAAAACAATGAGATAAGAGTATGGTGATAGAGAGGGGGAGAGAGAGAGAGTATAAGAGAAATATGGGAAGGAGAGAGAATATGAGAAACGATAAAGTGTGGTATCTAGGCTTTATCTTTTATACATAGAATAAATAATGTTTTACTACTATTTGAAGGACATAATTAACACCTCCAATGTAACCAATTGATATTATTAAAAATGTTCTCTTCCAAACCTTAAGAATCCCATTTCTGTGAGTCAAACTACTAGGTCCCATTCAATGGGCTCAATAATGTATTATTTCTATCTCCTTTGATTTTGTCATCTGTATTAGTTTCTCAGGCTACCATAACAAAGTACCAGAGATTTGGTAACTCAAACAACAGAAATTTACGTCTCTGAAGGCTAGAAGTCCAAATCAAGATGTTGGCAAGTTTGGTTTCTTTTTAGGCCTCTCTCCTTGGCTTGCAGGTGGCTGCTTTCTCGCTGTGTCCCCACATGGTCTTCCCTCTGTGCACATGCACCCCTGGTGCTCTTTGTGTATTGAAATTTTCTCTTCTTATAAGGACACCAGTAAGATTGGACTAGGGCCCACCCAAATGGCCTCACTTTAACTTAATCACCTCTTTAAAGGCCCTATCTCCAAATACAGTCCCCTTCTGAGGTACTGGGGAGTTAGGGTTTCAATATATGAATTTTGAGGAGACACAATTCAGCCCATAACACCACCCAAAGATAATTTTCTAACCCTGTGATGATTTTTCCCTCACTTCATTTATTCATTATCACGACCGTCAAATTGTCTCTTTATTAGAAGTCTTAACTGACCTGAATATCTGAATAACCATTATTATATGCCTAACAATTGCCTGGGTCTGCTTATTCCTATAGTATCACAGTCATGCTCAGTTTTTCTCTTACTCAATATGATGTTCACGTGATTGTCATTAGCTTTCACAACGGCCCACACTGACTACTGTACTGACAGCATTTTGGCCACACTATAAGGGACATCTTTGTCACCTTAATGCAAGGGACTATGAACTGACTGTGGATAAGTTGAATCTGACAGCCTGAAATTAGGAGTTAACTCTAAGGAGAAAGTTAGGACTGGAGCAAATACTTGTCAGGAATTAGCTAGACCTCTGAGAAATGGGAAAAACAGTCTTAAAGTATAGAGAGAGGGAAAAAGGAACGAATATCAACCTTAGGGAACACATACATTTAAGGAACTGAACGATGAAGCTCAGGTAGTAAGTGCAACAGCAAGGTTGGCAAGAAAGTGAAGATAAAGCAATGGAAAAGAAGCCAAGGAAAGAGAGTTTCAAAGAATTTTTTGCTACTACTTCTACCTCAAATGAATTCCTATACAACATTTCGATTTTTTTTAAAGATAAAATATTCTATAAACCTGTTTGTATTTAATTTAAAATTATGCAAATATGGGAGTTCATAAAGTAATGCATTACTAAAATGTTAATTTTCTCTTTAGGAGAATCTTGCAGTGTTCACTCTAATTAACCAATGTTTAGAGAAGATAAGCCTGTTTGAGCATATGGAAGTCTACATTTTCCTGAACTGTATATTTTTTGTTTGGGGCTTTTGTTTTCAATTTGAATGAATTCATGAAAGAAAAATATGTGATCATTAAAATAAAGACAAGTAGGACTCAAAGCTGAATTAGTATTCCAGAAATGCTTTGACAAGAATAACCACCAAGAGGCTTCTGTGATGATCTTCCTGTATAAAAGTTTCATGGTATTAAAGATTTAGTTTTCCCCGTGGGACAAGCTACACACTTGTAACCTTAGACAGTGATAGTTTTTAAAAAGCTAATTAAATGCAATTGCTATTAAACTGGTGATACTAAAGCACATACAAGAAAAAAAAACTATAAAATACTTGATAGTGTTATTAAAAGAGAAGCATTGTCATACTAGGGATTAATAAGGAGCAGTTTACATAGAAGACAGTTTTAACTAAACAATGCAGGAAAATTAGAATTCAGTTTTCATATAGTGAACAAAATTGCCTTGAGTTTGAGTGTAATCAAGCAAGCAGACTTGAATGCAATTAAGCAAGCAAGAGGGTAGGTTTTTTTCCCTCTTAACTACTCATGGAATTTAAGTTACTAGTAAGGAACAAAATTAATGTGTTGGTTTAACAATTTTTTTTTTTTAATTAGCCAAAATTTGGTTTGGTGCAAAATGGTTGTTTGTTTTTAAGCTTGGCTACATAACATAGTGTCTCTATAGATAACTGATAAAACCTAAAACAATATTATTCTACAATAGGATATGTTTTTCTTTCTTCTTTTTTTTTCAGTGTTAGATTAATGGCTTTAATCTTGTGTCACTATCAAAAAATAGGATATTCAATAATTGCACGTTGAATGAATAAATAAATTAGTCGATAAATAGTTTCCATTTTGAGAATTTAAATTCAAAATGACACACTAATGAAGACTGAAAAAAAATATATAGTAACTTGGAGAGAGGCTGTTCAGCTAGTTATGTATGCTCTAACTAAAACTATCTAAATGTAAACAGAACAAAAAATATACAATGAGACCTGAATGCAGCAAAATGTTAATAGACGTTATCAGGCTAGAATTAAAGTAGTTTTTAACCCATAATTTTTTGAATTTTGGGGGGGATTATCTATTTTTACTCTTTTGAGTAATGTCTCACTATAATAAAACAATAGCAGTTTACCATCTGACTAACAAGTACAACATTCAAGAGTTATAGCAATTCTTTGAATCAAATCGAGATCAATGAGAGCCCCAGGGAATCCAAGATGCTATTATGGGTATCTAACAGGAGCTAAAGCACAAGGTATTGAGTGCAAAAACAGTTATAACTTAAAATTCCAGGTAAAATTTGGACATGGGTTTACTTATAGGGACTGGTACACCCTTATATAGTCCAATACAGGCATTTTGAAAGTGAAGGACCAGAGAGAAAAACAACTAATGAAAACCAGTCAGGAATGAGATCTCAGTTCAGGTCTTTACATCATTCTAACTGCCAGAGTGGTATGTCAGACTGCCCTAGAATATGGCGCCGACGCTGGATGGACTCTTCTTGCGATTGGTGAAATTGTGTTTGGTCTTGGTAATGGAGACAGGACTGAGGAACAAGGGCACCAGTTAGGAGGAGGAAAACCTAGACAGGAGCCGGGACACCAGCTGGGCTCTACTCCCAAGTAACCACCTACTGGAGATGACTACAAGGGGTGAGCAGTACACAAACAGGATCAAGTAACCTTAGCAAAAGACAGAATGCTTTCTTTCTGGCCAGTATAAAAATATTTAACGATTATGCCCCTTTTCAGGCTACTTTTACCAGAAAAGGAAAATCCAACAGTTCCTATAAAAGAAAAAAAAAAAAAAAAGAAACATCTTAAACAAAAGTATAGGTAGAACTACAAAAGTCATAAAGGTTATTTATTCTTAAATAAATAAGAGATTTTCTCAGTAATCACATTTTGTTCCACTCATTTAGGAGGAATGGCCAGGTGTTAAACGTGTGAGGGTAATATTTAAGTTTGAAAATGGTGAGAACTGACTTTTAAGTCTTTTTTGCTTCATCTTGTTTTATCAGGCTCATTTT